ACCATGATTACCTTAACCTTAGGGATTTTTGGAGCTTTGGAATTGTTTTGGGAATAAGTTATTGAATAAGTATGGGGATGCATTTTGTATTTCATTGGATGATGTACTGGCTAGTTGGTTATCTCCGCTGTACAATTTTTGTATTTTCCTTTCAGTGTATTTCATATAGTTAAAAAAAAAAAAGAGAGAAAAAAAAGAGAAAAAAAAATAAATAAATAAAGAAGAAGAAAGGAAAGTTGTGGTTGAGGCAAAAGACAATAGAGGAGGTTTGATATTAGAGGTTTGTTAGAGGTTTTTGGGCATGCATCTTGTGCTTATGTTTTTTTCTTATTCCCCATTGCTCCTCTAGTTCCTCTGGTTCACAGCTACTTATCCCATATGATATCCTCTACCTTGTCCCTACCCCCATTACAACCTAAAAAGACCTTTTGATCTTTTTATGCATGTGCGTTGGGTGTTGAGTTTAGAGGCTTGCCAAGTCTATCTGTTGTTTGCTTTTCTTGAGTATTTTGAGAGTATACAGTAGCCTAGACACATGAGAGATACAGTGCATCTTGTGAGGTTTTGTCACTTTGATTCACCTTTTGACCTGATTGACCTCTTGCCAGGTTTTGAAATGCTTGGATGATTTCCATGAGTATTTGGTTGCTCTGACTCTTTGTGGGTTGGATGTTGTCTACTCCTTTCGTTTCCTAGGTTTCTTTGATGAATATGTATATCTCGTTTATGTTTTTGTTTGTCTTTATTTTTGTTTTTGTCCTTTGCATAATTTTCTTTAATGTTTTTGAATTTATTTCCTTGTTTTGCTTCTTGATTTTGCCCAGGAGTGCAAAAGGCTAAGTGTGGGGTTATTTGATGAGTCATTATATTCCCGTATTTTCTTCCCTTTTCGAACTTATTTTAATTAGTGTTTTAGGCTTAACTTTCTATTATTAGTGAATTTTTATTAATTGGGTTTCATTGGGCCAATAATTAGATTTTAATTAATTTAAATCTATTTGATCTAATTTTTTCTCATTATTAATTTTTAGGACAGTTAAAGCAATTTTGGGCCTAGAAGATTGGGCTAGATGCCATTTTACAGTTTAAAGCAATTTTGGGCTTGGAAAATTGGGTCAAATGTCATATTTTATTCTATACGGGTACTAACATTAGTTCACTGTTTTATTTATCATTTTTTATACAGATCTCCAAAAATCATTATTTTCAAATCATTATAAACTAGACACATTCAGCTTTCCATAGGATCCAAAATCATTCAATTCGGAGATAAATTGGATTTTACATAAATTATCCAACGCGGGTCAAGCGCACCAGGGCGGCCCAATGGACATGCTTCAGTAATTTAAGTCTCCTAAATTCATTAGACCTCCAAAAATAGTATCAATGGTGGCGTTTTAAAGCTAACTCAAAAGGCTTTCAAAGGATACCAAAATCGCTTAATTTGGATAAGTATCGAAAATACTGCACGTGTTTGAAGTTCACGGACCTGCACTAAAGCCAACTTATGATGTGTTTCATGGACTAGTTGAGCCCAAACCTCAATAAAGATTAGGGTTAGGGTTATTTATATAAGAGAGGCACATCACACATGGGAAGAGAGAGATCACACAAGGACTACGCAGCCACCACACTTCCACCTTTCATCTTCTGCAATTTATATTCAAGTTTGTTTACTCTTCTGTCATTATTTTTAAATTCTTGTTTCAATTTTAATTATGTTTCTTCTATTGCGTTTTCAACTTTCCATGGATAGCTAAATATTTGTATTGATTTTCTGAGAAGAATGCAAGTAGATCTTTGAGGTTTTGTTCTTCAATTTCATATTGTTTGTTCTCTTAACTCTTCATCTTCTAATCTCAGTATTGAATTATAATCTGTTTATGCTTAATAAACCGAAACTTATATCACAGTTTGCTTAATTCTGTGTTAGATATGAGATTATGTGATGTATGCAATGCTTAATTGTATAAGGATAATTTGGGGTTAATCTTCACTTAGTTGGTTAATTTCATGTTGGAATAAGGGTTAAGGAAAATTTGGGATTAATCTTCGCTTAGTTGGTTAATTTCATATTGGAACAAGGGTTAAAGCTAATTTGAGATTAATCTTCGCTTAGTTGATTAATTTTGAATTAGAATATAATTTGGGATTTATCTTCGCTTAGTTGGTTAATTTCGAATTAATTTCGTAATCTAGGATAAGTGACACTGCATTAGAATCAGGAAATCAATTGCATTTTAATCTGTTTTTAATCCGCATTTTTATAATCTGCTTTTGTTCTGTTTCATCTAATATTTTAATTTTGAAAAAACTCCCCTTTTAATTTTTTGTTACTAAAAATTGATAAGCTTTGATAGAAATTTATGGTCTTTGGGAGACGACCTAGGAAAGCTTCCTAGTACTACATTTATCTGTTTTAATTATTTGACCGAGTACGACATCGATCAGGGATCCGCAGGGGATAAAGTTTTCTTTGGTGATCCATCAGGGGATTGTTGACTTCCTGGGGATCTGAATTTTATTTTCTGGGATGGAGTCCTGACTCCTTAATGCGAGTTGACCTTCCTTGTACACTTGTCCCTTCCTTGTCGCGAAGGTCACAAATGTGCTCGGGGCCTCTTTCGCCATTATCTTAGGGATATCTAGTGCTTTCTAGAATGAATGTATTTATGCATGCACTAGTACAAAAGCGCGATAAATGTTCAAAGTGGCATAACTTTTGACTGAGATGTCCGATTTGGACACACAGCATATCAAAACGAAGAGAAAAAGGTGAAGAATCAGACTACAAATACCTAAAGGGGATTTGGCCCATTAATTTTCCCAAAAAACGCTTCTAAGACCCATTTTTTAGGGATTTATTAAAATGATGCGTATGCATACTTTCCTTATGCATTTATTTTCTCTCCTGGTTTTTCCACTTATGACATAATGTGATATGAATGATACGACTTTGTCAAAATTCTTTTTATAAATGTTTTGATTTTGTTATTATTAATTTTTTATTTTATTTTATTTTATCTTATTTTGTTTTTTAGCCTTTTATCTTTTCTGTTGGACTGTGTGACTACTTAGCTTACAAAGAACCCGAAACCAGGCTAGCTAAAAGGCAGACTGTCCGAGATAAAATGGTTTTATTTGCGAAAGAATAATATTAGCGTCCCTTATCTCTTCTGTCGGACTGTGTGGCTACTTAGCTTACAAAGAACCTGAAATCAGGCTAGTTAAAAGGCAGACTATCCGAGATAAGGGTGTTTATTGCAAAAAAAAATGTTTTTTTTGTGTGATTTTTCTGTTGTTTGGTTATGCTATGCAATCAAATGCAACAAACAAATGCACATACAATTCAGTCATCTGTGAACACGTGAGGAGTCATTTTAATCACGAGGTAGGGTTTTCCTGCAGAAAAGTGCATTGGCGAAGGTAGGTTCTAACTGTTCTCACCAAGGCTAAGGCCCCCAAGGTGCCCCCATTATAAGGTCCCGACTCTCCAGCCTTCCGACCATGCTTAGCATTAAGGTCATCGTCACTCTTTGTGCCAAAAGAGGAAGGTTATCACCTTGAGTGGTGGTTTCCAATCACACTGGTGGGCACAAGGCCATCACTACATCGAACCGTACCTGCCACCCACTCCCCATGGATTTCTCACTTGCCCCCGGGTATAGAGGGAACTGTTGTGTGCAAAGGTTTGTGTACAATTTGTATTTCAAACAATTGCGTAAATTAAACAAACAACAGTTATTAAAGCCAAGCATTAAAATATGTTATAATACAAGGTAGGGTAAAAGCGTAATTTCTTGGTTTATTTATTTAAGCTGGCCCATCACTAAATGGGATCAACTCTCTAGGCTTCCCTAGTGAAGTCGCCATCTGTTGCCGCCGTCAAAACGAGGCGGTCGGAGCAACGCGATGGTTTCGACTTTCCAATTTTCGCAGTTTTATGGGTGTGGTTACAACGCCTTTAGGTTGTCCGATAACCAGGCTGAACCTAGAGGCGAGGTTTTCGAAAAAGTGTTCTTGGATTGTCTGATAACCGGGCTAACCCAAGAACTAAGTTTGAAGGGTTCTTATGGAATCGCCACCAATGTTTTTACCGGAAACATCGAAAAAGGAGTAAAAAGGCGTTGGTTTTCGAAAACCAACTTTGGTCATTAAAACCAGAGTTTAGGTAAGGGAGTTAGTTACGTGTAAGGGAAGTGTTAGTTCCCTTACAACGCCCCTTTCGGGTTCCCTATGACAAACCATCTATTTAATAAATAAACTTTGTGAAAAGACGCTTTTACCCTTTTATTTACGAAATTAAAGTAACGACTACATGGCCCTAATATCTATTAAATAATTTAATCATAAAATTAAAGACAATAAAGAGAGGGAGAGAAAGAAGAAACCTCTAAAGCAAGCTCTTTGATTAATTTCTTGAAAATTAGGGTGCGTTTTGGCAGCCCTTCGCTCTTTACAACGCCGAAAATCTCTCGGAAATGCTATAAAAATCTCTAAGAAACTCTCAGAAACTCCGGAAATGCTTCGAAGGGATTCTAGGAAGAGAATTTGAAGAAGTTGTAGAAGGGAAAGTGGAAGAACTGTGTGAAATGAGGGGGGGAAGCGCTGCTATTTATAGGGATTTGCGCCTGTCAGGTCGAGACGGTCGTCTCGCCATTAGGGACGGTCGTCTCGCCATTCGGGACGGTCGTCTCGCCATTCGGGACGGTCGTCTCGCCTTGCAAAAATGGCGAGAAGGCCGTCTCGCCAAACGAGAAGAGGGTCTCGCCATTCGCAAGTGGCGAGACGGCCGTCTCACCAAACAAGACGGCGGTCTCGACTTGCAGGAATGGCGAGACGGCAGTCTTGAAAAGCGAGACGGCAGTTTCGATCCCTGAAGGCGAAAATCCTTATTTTAATGCAAAAAATCCTTCATATCCTAGTATGGGGCCTATAGTCTCTCCTAATGGCTTCTTAGGCTTCATCCATCTTTGAAAAGGAGGTCTTCTGGTCTTATTATGAGACCGAGCAAGATTAGGGGTCTACAGTGGGTGTTGAGGAAGATGGATTATAGTTTCAACCTCCATGCTAACACTGTGATGCATAATGTGGTTATAAGGCTGTGTTGCAAGAAAGGTGACATTGGAACGGTTGAGAAGTTGACCAGGGAGATGAGTTTGAATGGTCTTTATCCTAATCTTATTACATACATGGCAATAATCGAGGGATTCTATAATGCGGGTCGATCAGAGGATGCTTACTTTGTGCTTAAGGTTATAGAGTACATGGATTTCCCCCAATTTGGTCATTGTATCAACCATTTTAGACTGCTTGTGTAGGTCTGGATCTATGGAAATGGCATTGGAGTTGTTGGATGAAATGGAGAAAATGGGGATTGTAATCCAAATGTTGTTACTTATACATCTGTGATCCAAAGTTTCTCTAAGAGAGGTCAGTGGGCAGAAGCATTGGATATTCTGGATAGAATGAAAGCTTTAGGGTGCCAGGAAAATCATGTTACTGTTTTTACTTTGGTTGAAATCCTTTGTGTTGAGGGTTGAGGGTCGTGTGGAAGAAGCTTACAAGTTGATTGATAAGTTTGTAGTGTTTCTCATGGCAATTGTTGTCGTTCACTGGTGATTTCTTTGATAAGGATTAAAAGGCTGGAAGAAGCAAAGAATCTCTTCAAGGAAATACTTTCTAGTGATGTCAGACCAAATACTTTGGCATCTAGCCTTTTGCTAAAGGAGCTTTGTATGAAGGACCGGGTATTGGATAGGTTCTACTTGCTTGAAGCAATTGAGATTAAGGGATGTTTGTCTTCCATTGACTCTGATATTTATTCTATTATTTTAATTGGGCTTTGTCAAAGGAGCCACCTGACGGAGGCCACAAAGTAGGCTAAGATAATGCTTAAGAAATAAGCTCCGCTACAACCTCCGTACAAAGATGGTGCAATCGATATCCTTCTAAAATCGGGGAAAAAGATCTTGTGAACCTGATGAAGGACATACAAAAGGGAGTTTGATGATAAAATGCTTTATGAAATGGTCAAGTTGATTATTTATATGTTGCATCTAGTCATTCTTTGAAAAGAGTGATTCTTTTCTTTTATCTTTCATATTCACCTCTTTTTTTTTCTTCAATAAAATCCAGAAAATCCAATTCTATCCAGATTTATTTCATGGTCATAACTTTCGTTTTACTCGTCCAAATTGAGTGTTTTTTAGCCTAAATTGAAATTCAGGATGAGAACTTTCACCTCGTTCTTTAATCACCTTAATAAGAGTTTATAGCTTGACATATCGACATTTCAAAAATACTGCTCAACCTTGAAATTTTCACCACTTTCTATTCTAGTTTCTCACTAATTTCCTATAAAGTTCTAACCCTAAAGATCTTAAGTCAACCCTTGTGCAAATGAGGTTCATATCATTTGGTATTTAGAGCTCTGGTTGAAGGGTTTGAATATTAATATACGTGATATTGTTGAGTGTTGAATATTTGGCAAACATACCAATATTATCAATCGCAGTATAGTATTTTGATTAAATAAAAGTCGATCCCTCGATGAGCGATTTCCCTAAAAATTCCAAATCATAAGCTTACTAAGTGGATTAAAACAAAACTGATTTTTCATAAAGATTTAGGTTGAAAATAAATGGCAAAAAACTGTAAAATATTTTTAGAAAAAAAAAAAAAACTTAGGATTGGTTTAATTCATTTTTCCTCTTTTGTATAATGGCTAGGTCAAATTAAGAACATCAATTAACCTATCAATGTTGATTTCACCTACTTAAATCATTCACATTGATTCCTCACACATGAAATTCATAAGAAAATCTAATAAATGTTGATTCCTCACACATGCTCTTGTTGGCCCTCTTTATTATACTGGGTTTACCGCTATAGTAAATCATTCACAGTCATTCACATAAGAAAATCATTCACATTGATTCCTCACACATGCTCTTGTTGGCCCTATTTATTATACTAGGTTTACCGCTATAGTAAAAACCAGTTAAATCAAGCGCTTCACTTGCTACACCTCCTAAAACTGCCAAAATATTGGCAGACTTGCTTTGAAAATGACAGAGAAGAATAGAGAATAGTCATATTTATATAAGTTTGATTGCTAATTGAGACTAAAAGATAAATCATAGTAGGCTTACGTCTTTGCAAACTTGTGAAAGTCCCAGGGAATAAATCTAAGATGGTTCTCTACCGGTAGAATTTGGTTCAGATACCCAACATCATTTGCAAATTCACGCCTCAACATTATTTCCCGAGGCCTTTTCTCAACTATCTGCATTTTATTATTTGAATGAGCTACAAGAATAAATTATTTTCTTTTTTTACAAAAGAAGCAATTCATTAATGCTATATTTTGTATATCATAAAATTATATTCTGTAGGGGATTCACGGCTAAAGACTATAGGGAGAAAAATCCTACCATGTTTGGCACTGTTGACAGTGTGTTAGCAGCTTTTACATCTATGGTCCTTTGCAAGTGGCATTTATGATTAGATTGAAATTTAAATTTCCAATGCGAAGTCATTTGGTAGAAGCATGGGACATGGATACAAATCAGTTTCTCTCCAAGAGCCAAGATGGAAACAGAAGTGAGGTCCCTTGCTAAAAGAAAAAAGGAATGAATTAACAAGTAAATAGAGATGTATTAACCTCTTCAGACCTAACTATTTTTATTTGAGAAATTACCTTAATCAAATTAAGAACAATAATTGGATTGTCATATCTGTTAGCAAGGTCTTCAAAATGCAATTTTGTTGCCTGGTATGTCAGATCATACCTCGCGACCGGAAGTAAAAAGGGGAAAAAAGAACATGAAAAGAGAGTTTGATGCATTATAGTTTATAACAAAGATAAAGTTGAACAATGAACAAAATATATATTAATCTCAACTATTTTCGTACAAATTATGTCGGGTTTAGGACTAAATCTTGATGCTTCTTGTGACCAAAAAAGTGGTATTGATCCACGCATTTGCACAACTCGAACTCATTTTTCCCTTGCAAAAGCCAGACTTCTTCATCAAGGACAATCTGCTCTGTCTCAGCATCATTAGCAACTCTACCCCAATCATTCACACCCCTTTTCAAGTAACTACAGATACAATTCATTACGGAGAAAGTTAATCTAACCATTACAAGTATGGCCAAATAGACACAATGTAAAACCATAATTTCAAAATATCCTAAATTAGCTTTAACCCTTATTCCAATATGAAATTAACCAACTAAGCGAAGATTAATCCCAAATTTTTCTTAATCCTTATTCTAACATGAAATTAACCAACTAAGCAAAAATTAACCCCAAATTATCCTTATACAATTAAGCATTGCATACATCACATAATCTCATCTCTAACACAGAATTAAGCAAACTGTGATATTAGTTTTGGTTTATTAAACATAAACAGATTATAATTCAACACTAAGATTAGAAGATAAAGAGTTAAGAGAATAAACGAAATGAAATTGAAGAACAAAACCTCAAAAATCTACTTGCATTCTCCTCAGAAAATCAATACAAAGATTTAGCTCTATTTATAGAAAATCGAAAACGCAGAAGAAGAGACATAATTAAAATTGAAACAAGAATTTAAAATAAGGACAGAAGAGTAAACAAACTTAAATACAAATTGCAGAAGATGAAAGACGGTTATGTGGTTGCTGCGTGGTGTCATTCTCCCTTAACCCTACATCTCTAACACATAAATAACCCTAACCCTAATCTTAATCTAGGTTTTGGGTCCAACTGGTCCACAAAACACATCATAAGTTGGCTTCAGTGCAAGTCTACCAACTTCAAACACATGCAGTATTTTCAATACTTATCCAAATTATGCGATTCCGGTGTTTTTTGAGTTAGCTTTTAATTTCTACTATTTTCGGAGGTGTAATGAATTTAACAGACTTAAATTACTAAAGCATGTCCATTGGGTCGGCCTGGTGAGCTTGACCCATTTTGGATAATTTATGTAAATTCTAATTTAGCTCCGAATTGAATGATTATGGATCCTATGGAAAGCTGAATGTATCTAGTTTATAATTCTTCTAAAATTATGATTTTTGGAGCTTTGTAGAAAAAATGATAAATAAAACAGTGAACCAATGTTAGTACCCGTATAGAATAAAATGTGACAATTGGCCCAATTTTCCAAGTTGCTTTAAACTATAATATGACATCTAGTCCAATCTTCTAGGCCCAAAATTGCTTTAAACTGTCCTAAAAATAATAATGAGAAAAAAAATTAGATCAAATAGGTTCAAATTAATTAAAATCTGAATTATTGGCCCAATGAAGCCCAATTAATAAAAATTCACTAATAACAGAAAGTTAAGCCCAAAACACTAATTAAAATAAGTTGAGAAAGGGAAGAAAATATGAGAATATAATGACTCATCACCTCACTCCCTCCCGAAAAAGTTGGACTTTCCCCAAGCCATTGGAGTAATGCCTCAAAGTCTTCTGGAGACGTCCACTACGATCCTGGAGCAATCTGCAAAGACAATCTATGAAAATATGAATTAAGGCTGCATTGACCCCGATGTGTAGCTGCCTACTGTAGTGTCAGGTGCTCCATGTAGTGCATCATCCTTTGTTGGATGTCATCTTGATGCAGAGGTGGTGGGGCTGCCTGCCTGGCTCGACGTGGTTGGCAGGGTGGCTGTTGTAGTGTCAATGCTGTTTCTTTTGTAGGATTTATGCAGTTGCACTCTATGAATCTTGTGTTGATTGGTGGCCAGATTTTCATTGTAGGGTTGACCTCCACACCTTGAGCTGCTCACAAAGTGGTGATGAGGGCAGAGAACCCTAGAGCCTTAGCTTGCTCTGTGCGTCGACCACATTCCAACACTACAAATTAATAAATCTCTTATGAAATAATTGCAACAACATCAATTTGGATGTCCTCCAGAATGCTCTTTATAATGTAACAGTGTGGCATGTTCAAGTCCGAGTTGTGCTTGATTGGCACAATGTTTGCCAGCAGGAATGATGTCCAGATTTGGGTTAGGGTTGTCATGTTGCCCCTTGTCACCGCCGTCAAAAGAGGCGGTCGGAGCGACGTAATGGTTTCTTTTGACTCGTGTTTTTTTAAGAAATTGTTCAACGCCTTTAGGTTGTCCGATAACCGGGCTGGACCTAAAAGCGAGGTTTTCGAAAGGTTCAAGGAGTCGCCACCAATATTTTTACCAGAAACATTGGAAAAGAAAGAAAAAAAGAAGTCATTGGTTTAGAAAAACCAACTTTGGCATTAGCTTCCCTACGACGCCCCTTTCGGGTTCCCTATGATAGACTGTTTATATAAAGAAATAATAACTATAAATTGCGCTTTTACCCTTATTTATTCATTGCAGAAATTAAAATATTCACTACATGGCCCTAAATGATTAATGCACAACGATACTATCTAAAAAGTAGTAAAGTAGAGAAGAGAGTATATAAGAACCTTCGAAGCAAGCTTTTATAGTAAGTTCGTTGAAAGAGGGTGCTTTTTGGCAATCCCCACGCTCTACAATGTTGATCGTTCTTCCTCGCAACACTATAGAATGCTTTCTAAGAACAGTAAGAAACTCTAGAAATGCTTCAGAGGAGTCCTAGGAGAGTAATTCGAAAGAAGTGCAGAAGGAAAAGTGGTAGAATGCTATGAAAATAGTGAGGAAGTCCCCCCTTTTATAGGAATTCGCACGTGTCAGGTTGGGACCGCCGTCTTGCCAAACGGGACAGCAGTCTCGCCTTCGACAAGTGGCAAGGTAACGGTCTCGCCCTTAGCCAATGGCGAGACGACAGTCTCGAACCTTTTGGTGAAATTTCTTATTTTTCTTGTACAAAAATACTTCTTATTCTAATATGGGGCCTATTGATCAATCCTGTGGACCTTTTAGGCCTTGCCCATCTTCGAACGGAAGTCTTCTGCTCTTTATTTTGAGGTCGAGCAAGATTTGGGGTCTATAGCTGCCCCCCCTTCACATGACTAGCCGAATATTGGCTCGACATGCCAAAAAGATCGGCTGGAGGGCGAAGGAGTTAACCCTCTTGCCCGGCTATCCTTCGGATGCTCCTTCTTACGGTAGCCGATCCTCTAGACAATAAATGTGTGTGGCTTCGGGATGCTCCTTCATGTGGTAGCCGACCCCTTTGGACAAAAAGGTGCGAACCTCCGGGATGCTCCTTCTTGCGGTAGCCGACCCCTTTGGTTGATGAGTATGAACCCTCATCCGGTTGCTTGTAGCTTTGGGATGCTCCTTCTTACGGTAGCCGACCCCTCCGCTGACAAGTGGTAGAACCTCAAGATGCTCCTTCTTGCGGTAGCCGAGCCCTCGGTTGATGAGTATGAACCCCCATCCGGTTGCTTGTAGCTTTAGGATGCTCCTTCTTACGGTAGCCGACCCCTCCGCTGACAAGTGGCAGAACCTCATGATGCTCCTTCTTGTGGTAGCCGACCCCTCGGTTGATGAGTATAAACTCCCATCCGGTTGGTGCAGTCCACTTTGTAGACTAGTGGTGGTGGCGGCTTACTGCTCTAGCTCATGCGCCATTCCTTGTGAGGAGTGTTTCTGCTTTGGTATTCTATTTTTTGACTTTTCTGGTAAAGTCTTCCGGTGTGCCGGGGATTGATTTTTGGATCTTCCTAATAGTCATCCAACTTGTTAATTGCTGAGGATTCTTTATTTTTGAGATTTTGTAGTGATCATCCGACTTTGCTAGTTGTTGGGGATTTTTGGTGAGCGCCTTTTACATAGGCAAGGATCCGCTGGGGATTTTGTTGATTTTGATGGTTCCTCTGAGGAGGCAGATGCTTCATCGGAAGTGAAGGCTTTTGATTCGCGTTGTTTTCTTGAGGGGATCTTCATTTGGAAGCTTACTTTTGAGTGCTTCCTGTTTTCAAACGCAAACATGGAGCTAGTCTCCTTATATGCATGAATGCTTTTCATTTTTGTTATTTATCTGAAGCGATTCTTTATTTTTTTGTTTTTTGATCTTGACAAAGTCGTCTTGTGTAACTATTTGTGTGGATGCCTTAAATGCAATCTATTTTTATTTGATGCATCTAGAAAGTGACTGGCATTCTTCTGTTGATCTTTCATGATTACTCTAATGGACTATTCTTTCCATTAATTTTCTTTTTATTATGCCCTATCTTTTGCCTAGACCGCCCTTTTGGGGTTTTCGATCTAGCGGACTGCCTTAATTTTTGCCTAGGATATCTTAGCGGGCTTTTTCCTTTTTATGAGTGCATTAACTTTTACCTAAACCGCCCTTTGCGGGTTTTCGATCTAGCAGGCTGCCCTAATTTTTGCCTAAGAATCTCCAAGCAGGTATCATTCTTTTTTATCTTTATTTTTCCTTTTCTTTTCCTTTCTTATGCTTTCTTGTATTGGTTCTTTATGCATGCTCATGTTTCATTAATACAGAGGAATTTTCATAAATTGGTCAAGAGAAAAGGAGTAAAAGACAACTTTATTGATATAAACAAATGGTTCATTTTTTTACAGAAGGATTTACAAAGGGATTTAGAAGCATGATTGGCCAAGGTTGCCTATACTGTATGAGCTATAACAATCATCTCCCTAACATTTGTTCTCTGTTTTTCTCAGTCGCTTCAGTTGAGATGCTCGAGCCAGAGTGAAGACTATGCAAAGCCTGCTTGCTTCTGGAAGGACATTACCTTAGTCGCCTTGCGGTTTTTGGCTAAGGTAATCATTGCTCTTTGTGTTTTGTTGTTTTTTTTTGAAACCTCTAACTTTTGCCTAGGACGTGTCCTAGCGAGGAATATGGACCCTATGTTTTGCCCCAGGACGCTCTTTGCGAGTTTTCGTCCTGACGGGTCATGAGCAATGTCTTCAAGCGTAGTACTTTTTCACAGCGTCTGAGTTGACTGGGTGTCGGAGCTCTTCTTCGTCCATGTTAGTGAGGATAAGGGCTCCTCCTGAGAAAGCTCGCTTGACCACAAAGGGTCCTTCGTAGTTTGCTACCCATTTTCCAAGTTTGTCCTTCTAGGTGGGAAGCAGCCTTTTTATTACTAAATCTCCTTCTTGAAAAGTGTGGGGATTAATCTTCTTATCGTAGGCCTTCTTGATCTTCTTTTGATAGGTTTGCCCATGACATATGGCGT